ACACGGCCACGGGCCGGCCTCGCCACACGTCCTCCCTCCTCGCCCGGCGAACCCGATCCCAAGGGCTCCCGATGCCAGGAGCACAACGATTCCCGCCATCTCAGCTCTGCCTGTCAAAAGCACCTGGGCCACGGTGGCAAGAAAAGGACTGCAACAAAAAGCAGTCCCAACTGTAAAGGCTGTGCCGCGACCTGCGGCAAAAGCCCAAAATAAAGAAGCTCCAAAGGCTAAAGTCGACAAACGACTGTTCCTTCGCCTTGAAAAGCACCACCCGTGGCGAAAATTGTCCACAAGTTCCGTGAGAAGTAAATTGGAGTCCATATTCCATTATTTTCCCCATAAAATACCCTCGCTCCATCGAGTGAGGACCGGCTTTGCTTTGATAGCAAAGAACGACGAAATACGACAAGAGATGCTAGATAGCTCTTCGAAGCTGGCGAGCGAAAACGCCAAACTCGAGGCATCTTCGAATCTTGTTGCCTTACAGATACCGAACGTACCTATAAGTATAACTTCAGAGGATGGAGCCAGGGCGGTCAGTGCTGAGTGGGTCTCTGTCCAAATCGCCATTACGACCGGCGTAAATCCAATCCAGGTCCGACCCCATGGGACGTGTCGACCTAGGACGCCGTATCGAAACTGGCATGCCATTTTCGAATGGGACTCCGCCTCTTCGACGAGTCTGGTAAGGCTACCCATCACAAGCCTCGTCGACCAATTGAACAGTACAAACGCTGTTTGGGCTTCCACGCTACCCGCGGTTGCTCCCGCGCTCCAGTCTGCTGGAACTGCGGATCAAATATGCACTCGGAAGCCGAGTGCAAGTACCTCACACAGTGTCGTAACTGTGGGGGACCGGTGACAAAAGAGCAGCTCGCGTATATCCGCCACAACGAACAAAGGGAGTTCGCGAAGGTGGCACGAGCTCGAGCAGCAGCCAAAAGGGCCGAGGAGGTGATTATCGCCGCGGCGAAGGATGTCTCTATGGCCGAGGCAACAGGTTTCGGAGCTCTGGGATCTGAAGAAGAAGTTTGAGGACACAGCAACCTCGACGATGTCCCTTTTGGGGCATATACTAACCAATAGCAGGATACCGGCTGGATAAAAGGTGCCTGCTAACTCCTCTCTTGCTCCCAGCAGAGATTGAGTAAGTTTGTCATTTGGAAGATGTGACAGGAAAGGGAACGGGCGAGACGCGCGGGATCCGGACCACATGAAAAAAATCTTCTAAACTTGATTTTAGTTTTTTATTCCAGTTTCTGAGTTATAATTTACCTGCTACTTTTTCTGTAGCGGGTCTCGCGGTTGGAATGAGTTGGGCCTGTAAGCAGTAATCCTCGCCGGCTCCACTAGTCTTGTACCGATAGTGGACCTAGAGCTTTAGCTTAGAACTTTAATATTAAAAAAAACAGAATCGTACAACTCCTTACTGAATCATTACGATCGATCGTGAAACCACACCGTATTAATTCCAACAAATGTATTAATATGCGTGATTATTATTTACAACAGGAGAAAGTGCTCCTACTTAATACCTCAATCCACTCGCTAACTAGCCTGTCACATGTCTCATCTGCTTAGATCATAGTCTATTTTCAAATTGCCTCACGTCGTGCCGGTCAGTTCAGTCTTCATAGACTAACCGACATGCCAGCACTTTCAACAGAGCCCAGAAAGTTTAAAAAATGTGGGGCTAAGCCACTGCATAGTGCCACCAAGAGTAATAGGGAATTTGAATGATTGACTGCCTCTACCAACCATTTCGATGGTATACTCCAAATATTTAGTTCTTTAAATTAATCACATCAATTTCCATGGCTCAGTATCTCTCCCATCTTCACTCGCAGACTTTGATATCGTCACAGAAAATTCATACTCAGTAACCCAAATTTGAAGTCCTCCGATAATTTCCCGTCGACAACAGTATTGGAAAAAAGGGTCGTAGTTCGTGTTATGGCTTTTTCCGCACTAATTAGGGACTGGGAGATTTATTTGGTGAATCGAGAGAAAGTGCGGTTTTCAGCCTGAATGCTCCTGATAACTTTCTTCATGATTTTTATAACCGAGAAACTTCTGCAATCCAGGAGTTCTGGCCAAAATCAGCCCAGCATTGCACCTTCGGACAAGAATCTCAGCCAGAAGAAAATCGATTCGAGCGTTGGGGGGTGACTAATTCATGGCTCTGTAAGAATCTTTGACTCCCAGTTTATTTTTTTATAAATCATTTAATGTGTATTCAGCTATTTAGCTATGACACATGACCGGTGCCATGTACAAATTCGATGGCTCTTTTGACGTTACAGACACTCATACTCTGGATTTCATTTGCAAATACCACTACGAGGTATGTTCGCTTAAACAAACAGTCGACCTTCCTCCGTAAGTATCCACCAAAGGGACGTTTTAAAACCTTTAATTATCCAAGCATGCCTTCGTCATCCATGCATACCAGCGTCGCAAGAAATATGGTTGTATTTTTCTGTATTCGAACCGGCGATCCACTGTCTTGAATGTGATATGTGTCCAAGCCATCCAGACTCTACTAGGCAGACCGGCCAAGACGATGTACCACCGCACCATCCAACCATGGCAGTGCTTATAGTGTCGCCTGCACTTTCGCAACCGAAGCCTTGGCACGCATAAAGCTCAATTTGTAAAAACTCCCTGTCAAAATTCAAAATTCTACACGCGTCGAAACTGAATCCATCCTTCGCACCATCTTGTTGACTTGTCCTGAATCCTCACGCTAACCCAAATGAACAGTCTCCCAGATTTGTGCGCTACGCTTTGCTTCCTCCGTCGGGTATAAATATCGGCGTAGGCGTGTATTTGGTGACCGGCTGAGGCCAGAGAAAGTCGACGAGGGGTTTGATCATTGTAATGAGGATGTACTAGGTCGTACTTGTAGACTTGATGAGGCTTAGGTAGGAATCGGACTCTATGGGAGTGAAGATTTGACGTGGTAGAGTAGTTTGAATCATTGCCTCGTGGGCCAACTTCTTTGATATTGCGAAATTTGACTGAACTTGGCTCAGGGAGAATATTTCACTCCCAGGTTCGTAGAGGACACAGCGTACAGGTGTTCAGTCTTGCCCTCCCCGAATTGAAGTTGAAAGTAAACCAAACACGTCTATAATCGGCGACTTCTCATCAATTTTGGTCATGTCAATCTCTCTTAACTCCACCACCTCAATCTTACCTTAAACAACCACGCCTCAACTTCCGATCAATGAGCTGCTTCAATTGCAAACAGGAGCTTGCCTCATTACTTAATGTCCGTCTCCCACTACAAACTCCAACACTATGTATGGCCACAGGAAGGAAATTAAGTCATATTATACAAATTTGGGGTCTTGGTTTGTGGTTGACTCTTACTCTTATGGGGTTATACATCTTGAGGAAGGACAGATGACTTGGGCATGGATAGAGACAAGGAAGAGATTTCCGGTGGGAAATAGAAATCTGATATTTTCGAGCAGTTTTCAACTTTGGAACGTCTTTGTGAACCAAGACCAAGGTTTTGGTTAATTAGTCAGGAGGGCTTCTATTGTCGATGAATCTACGGTACTCCTCGGTACTCCAGACGGCAGTCACCATGTCTCCTCAGGGATGGGGCTTTAGTTGTAACTAGTGCCCGGTAGACATAAAAATAAATAAATACATACTCCAGACGGTACAAAAGAAGTTGGACTAAGCTGCTATACAGCAATCACGCTCTGTCAAGACTTTTCTAACATTTCAGCACGACCTTCGGGAAGGAGTTGGAAGGAGGCTAGAAAGGCAGAGCGTGAATTCTCCGAGGTATCCACAAGTCTACAGCGCCCAGCTAGCCGGCCTCTTAGAACGCATCAGAAGGGTTACTATGTCTTCCGATTTAGTCCTAATGTCGGTATTAGGAGAGCTCCGCACCCAGTGGTTTTTGCGATTTTTCCCGGCTGCCATACACCCGCAAATGGCCATCGTTTCGTTGGCTGGAGAGGGGAGATGATGAAGGGCAAAAGTCTCCTCTAAGTTTATGAGCGAATCAGAGCTTGTGAGGGATGGCACTGTCTGAGGGGAGCTATATGGGAGGCATAGTAGGGGATATACTACTGGTATAGGTACCCATGGCCTATAGGCAGAGAGGACCTGCATGTCCTACAGAGTCATAGATTCAGAAAGGACGATAAAATAAAATAATAACATAAATAAATAGTTCATATCATACTGAATAGAATCTGGGATGAGCGACGAGTCATTTATAAATCGTACGGTATATGTGGCAGCCAATATTTATCTAGTGACGCGGGCAGAAAAGCTTAAGAGCGATCTGTTGTGTAACTGAGGGCTCAATACTCGATAGCTCAAAACGATAATATACGCTACTGGGTTATGTGAGAAAGAAATGCGTTTCGTGGAGAGTAGAAAAATTAGGAACAGTGCGATGGGCTAGAGCTTCAACAGGACTAGAATGTCTTATCCACGCATTACATTTGCTTTGCACGGTCTTTTAAAAAGCTATGACGATAACTGAAGCACAAGAAATCATTGTTCTTACCCATTCGTCTGTTATTTCTCTACCAAGGATAATTACATAGAAAGCTGTTGCTTCCCTGATAATTGATTTTTAAACGGGCTTTTATCAGAGCGTTGATATTAAACTATAGTTACGTTCGACATTTGATGAGACTTTCATCTTTTACCCAACTGTCACTCTTCGTCAGCAAAAAACTCAAGAAAACTCTTTGGCTATGTGGTCAGGCCATCACCTTTTTACAAGCTGTAATCATCATATATGAAGTCAGATAAAACTCCTATCAGAGGAATTGCACAAAGAAATTACGGTTAGTACATGATAGTGGCCTGTGGATGATGTTTGTTGAGTTTCCAGCGCTCCTAATCATGCAAATGCTATTTTTCTGTGAGTAACAACCTACCAAATTGTGTACAAATAAAATAGTTATAAAATGAGTGCATAGACGTCACAAAAGTTCATAATCTTAATTGGAACTGGAGGTATATTATGAAGCAGTGACTTTTGGCTTTTTAGTTCCATATTTGCTACGACTAGTTTGTCTATTTGCAACACCACCCTGATCAGAATGTCAGCAGTATAACAAATTTAGCGCGCGCATATCAATTATATTAACTTACTAAGTCCATTGCCCCTCGGACCAAGTGATACCTGACACCCGGACAATCTTGACTTCGCCCCCCACGAACGAGCACAACGCTGTGTTGCTGGGCATTGTGACCCTCGCCTGGAATATATGCTGTGATAACCTTTCCTGTGCTTAGACGTACCCTAGCTACTTTTCTCTCGGCTGAGTTGGGCTTCTTCGGCTTTGTCGTACCGACCTTTAGACATACGCCTTTGAGGTTTGGAGCACCCGCAACGCGGAGTGCAGGCGATACGGCTTTACGAGCCTTGCGCGCTTTTCTGCAGCCCTGTATCATGGTAAGTACTAGGAGTTTCAAGTTGAGATGGGATCCATTACTCGGATGACTTGGTTATAAGTTGCCTGACAAGAAGACCTTGAGCTGAATAGTCGCGAATGTTGAGCGGTAAGAGTTTTTGGTGGACAGAGAAAAGTAGGAAACTTTCTAGATAGTGGTAGGTTATACCGACGAAAATAAGTAAAAATCATATTGAGGCTCATCTATCTGTTAAGTAATGATGAATTGGATGTGAACTTCCAGACTCGAATATATTTGTATTATTAGGTTTGGTTTGGTTTATTGTTCAACACCTTTCACAAATCCCGAGAAGAACATAGGACGCCAAAGCTCACGGCCTTGTGTGCCTGAGGCATCCAACTGTCCAACCTGAATAGCCAAAGCCTTTAGTTTTTATGTGCAAATGGTTGTGGGGAAGTTATCCTGCTCCATAGCTGTAAACATATTTGCGGTAAAGTTTCTTGGACATGAAAATACTGAAACCAAAAACTATCTGCACATTTGAGTTGGATGAAAGAGCAAAAGTATAAAATTCATCCGTGCAAATTTCTAGTCAGCATTATTATAGTAAGATTCTAGTCTGTGGTCGGAGCAGATTTTTGAAATTAATTCTGTATCTTGCAGCCACGGGGTCAATCTTTTCGCTACAACTTGGCTACCAAGAAGATACATAACGTTATCGCTGTAGCTCCTTGGGGCTCTGGGTAGTCTTACTGGGGGAAGGTGACAGCGACGGAGATGCCCTGATGTTTTGGGAGCCCCGCAACTGCATATTTTGCGAGCATCGATGTGCTTGAAGCGTTCGTGGAAAGCAGTAAAGTCACCATGGCCGTTGAAGACAGCATAGAGATAAGCCATAAGAGAGCAACTTAAGAAAAGTTCGCGCGGGCATAGTTCGATGGTGTCAATTTCTAGTGCTCGTTATGAAGTTAGGGCTTCGAGTGTCCAGAATTCCTCGAGTAGCGAGATGATTAGATGAAAGTTTATTCGTGACGGGCACAAGCCCTGCACTCATAGAGCATGACACTGAGAAGACTTGCTTCTCCGACAACTATATACAACAATAACTCAGTTTGACATTTGGACTACTTATGTAGTGGGTGCATTTGCTGATACCACTCGAGACCTTGGTGCTAGGGACTTTGACCCTTCCGTCAACCGTTAATATCTACCAAAGGGAAAACAGGAAAAACCTTTGGCTATCCTATCATGCCTTTGTCATCTTGTATATAGCCGCCGCGCTCCTCGAGTAGGGAGCTTCTTAATGATTTTCACCAGTTTTTGGCATAGGCCAAAGTTAGGGGTGTTTGTTTTGTTTTGTTCATTTACGTGCTAGGTACATATCACTCGTTGCACTCCTACTGGAGCTTAAGTACGAGTGGGGCCGGGCCGGATCAGATAAACTACCGTGAAGTACAGATATACCTCGTCCACCTAAATGACCAGATCACCACAGACTTCACCTATGCGTCGAATCATACCAAGCCTGACCGTCCAGAAACCCGTTATATACACGACGTAGCGCAAATTTCTCCTCGGCCTCGGCTATCATGCGCCCGAACCCTTGACATCCTCATTGACTCCGAGATATGAATGCCGTCCAAGATCTCGTCGTTGCTCTAGCCTTACATCTTCATATCGTACCGTTGGGTTGTTGTCGTCGTTGGGGATTTATGTAATCTCCTCGGTATATATTCCCTTTTCTTCTTCATTTATACACGTCCCATTTCCATCATGACTTTCCTCATTATGGCGTGTGTAGGTAGGTGATGTGAAGAGTATAAAGATGGGTCGCAGGTGTGAGATCGGCTGAGATATGGATCGTCGCAAATATATGAGGAGTTTGGGAGATGTCGGATGTTTGAATACGACTCCCAGACAGACCTAAGCCCATTTGTGAATCTAATGTTGGTGATGATGAGTTTTTGTTCCACTTTCTTGTAGTTGTGAAACCATTGCCGACTGATTTTTCGACCAAAATACCAAGTTTAACTCCTTCAAGCTGAAAATTCATCAAATCCCTCCCTTTATCGTGACTGAATCTTGGCCATGGGAGAATATTTCACTCCCAGATTCGCAGAGAGCACCACTGTCAGGTGTTCGGCTTTCAGCCTCCAAGTTAGGGGTGTGGCTGTGGGAGGAGGTAATAGTGGGGCCGCTTTGGCTGTGGCATTTGCCTGTTCGCTTCCTGTAATGCCGGCATGGCCTGGTAACCAAAACACCCTTACTTAGTCTGTAATGATGTGCAGAAGCCGAGGCCGGGTTTTCCAAGCTATTACATATTCAGTGAACTGGGCACACTTGCCCTGTGAGTAGCAGACCAGGACCTTGTAATATCTGAGCTTTCATCAGTGTTGTTAGTTTAGGTTGTGATTGACATCCATCACGTGATGCTTAGAATCGTGAACTTGTGCATTTAGAGTGAGTGAGTGTTTATTGTCCTAAAAAGTCTATAACTATGTAAGGACATGTAGGTCCTTTCTGCCTACAGGCCGGGAGTATCTATGCCTCGGGTAGTGTACTCCCTCCTATGCCTCTTTCACGACTTCTTTCCAGCAGTAATACCCCCACAGGTCTTCATTCGAGTACACACTAAGAGGAGCCGTTATCCCGTCATTATCTCCCCTCTCCAGCCAACTAAACGATGGCCATTTGCGGGTGTGTAGCCGCAGGGAAAAGTCTCAAAAACCTCTGGGTACGGTGCTCTTCTATAACGAAGAGGCTAGCCACCCGGGCGCAGTAGACCTGTGTATACCTAAGATTGTCTCTCAACCTTCCTAGCCTCCTCCTTACTCCTCTCCTGATTCATACCGCAGGACAAATCGTAGGTCGTGAAAGGATGTCAGAAAAGTTTTGGTCGAGAGTGACAGTAGTGAAGGAGCCTAGCCTAGCATCCAAAAGTCGTTACGGACGTGGGGTCGTCGAGTAACTCATGTATTTCAGATGCCCTCCTGGCTAGTAGATTCGGAAGTTATGATTAGTAGGGACGATAATATAGACGAGTCGAAATCTGCTTTTCTTGAGGGCGGAAGGGTCTTCTACTTTGCTTTCGTATGCTTTTTGTTCGCCCGTCGGTGGGTAGCACATGTTGTGATTTAATGAAGACTTCTCTGACTACCGTTACAGCATTTGGTACCGCATTATCTTTCCTCATTACCAGCATCATTATCATCGTCTTGGTCGTCTTGTGTGTTATCGGATGCGTATCTTTGACGGGGGGGGGGAGATAACTTAGCTCAAAGTTGATAAGGTGTCACTCATTCTCGGCTCTGCAGACTCTACAGTGAGAGCTGGAGGTTCGTAGGTGACACCACTGACAGGTGTTGAGAATAGTCCCCCCTTGTGCATTTAGAGAGGTGTAGAGTGAGTGTGTTTGTGTGTTGTACTACTTGAGTCACAGACTATCTAGCACGTTGGGCTCCTCTCTGACCCAGGCCACACCTTGTACAGTGCTCCTTGCCTCTCATGTTTCTTGAAAGATAATTGATATACTGCCCTTGGTGAGAGGTGGAGAGTAAAGACTGTATACATGACAGCAGTTTTAATTACGATCCCGGGATGAAATATCTTCCCAGAGCCAAGTTCAGTCAAATTTCGCAATACCGAACAAGTTGGCTCACGAGGCAATGATTTAAATACTCCGTCACGTCAATTATCCACTCCCAACGAGATCGAATCCTACCTACATATTATCAAGTCTACAAGTACGACAAAGCTCATCCTCGTGTCAGTGACTACACCTCTCGTTGACTTTCTATGGCCTCAGCCGGTCACCAAATACACGCCCACGCCGATATTTGTACCCGACGGAGGAAGCAAAGCGTGGCGCACAAATCTGGGAGACTGTTCATTTGGGTTAGCGTGAGGATTCAGGACAAGTTTACAAGATGATGCGAAGGAAGTATTGTCGGTAAATGGATCATATTTGGGCAGTAAGAATTGTTCTATCTAAGTGCGATATTCAGGTTGTCATTAGGGCACTGACAGGGATCTGACTTAGCTCATTAGCGAGGCGCTTGGAGTGGAGGAAGAAAGGGCAGAGGGAAAAGGAAGAAGAAGCGAAAGCGTTTTATGTATTTCGAGATACCAGTTAATTGAGATTATTCACCGACTTTGTGACGGCACCCAATTTGTATTACTTCGTGTTTTACCAACATGGATACAGTCTCGACGAGCATGATTTCAAATTTTGGCAAGGAGTTTTCAGAAATTAAGCATTGCGCGCGCTAGACTTCGCTTGCGTGAGTGTTGTGGTTATGAGGTTTGCGGAAGTCATATTGCGGAATGATAAGGAATGGTTGATGTTATGTTAAGTGGTTGACAGTGAACAGATTCATACAATATTATGCTGAAGGTGTACGGACAGAAAGTGTAAGACTAAACCAGTGTCCATTTATAATGGGTACAACTATGAAACTATATACATGCTCGGGGTTGGATGGTGCAGTGATACACCGTCCGGGCCGTTCTCCCAAGTAGATACTGGGTAGCTTGAACACCTACCCCATTCGAGACAGGAGAAAGCTGGTTCGAATCCAGTCAGACCCACACACCACTCTCTCTCGCGGTGGTATTGTACTTATGGGATGATGAAATCACACCCGGATAGTCACAGGTTTTTCACTCTTTTCCCTGTGGTGGGTATGCACGGATGAGGTTATATGCCGTAAGGGTTAACCTCGAGTGGTATCTGCAAATGAAATCTGATTGTGAGTGTTCTAAATGTCAAATTGAATCATCCGACTTAAGCACATATCTTCCGATGAAACCTGCATGGGTCTCAAGGCGCCAAAACAGGAAAAATGAATAATATATATATCCATCGCAATCCTAAGTATCAATATGAGTTACTATTATACGGTATGTTTGTACGGGTCGATATCAAGATAGAAAAGTTAACAGAATCATCTATTATTTACTTTTCCTTGATATTGTGCTATAGCTAGATAGCTGCATACGCAATTAAAATCTGATGCAAAAAAAACATCAAATGAAGCGACTCAGCATCCAAGCCACAGAATAAACAATTGTGGCGCCATATAGCCGCTCAAATATCCATTAGGTAGCCTGAAAATTTACCACGCTTCAAACAAGATCATGTCTGGGACCTGGAAAAAATAAAGGGCCCGTAAGTCCAGCATACTGTCTCCATTTCCAACACCTTATTACAAAAGCTTGCGGTAGGGCTTGATCTTCAGGATCAACTAATATAAAATTATAATATTCACACATGAAACTAACCCATAAAGTAGGGACGTGATTAGATAGATCCTTAATTAATCTTTCATAGTCTAAGACTCAATATAGACTTAAATTTATATCAAATAATAAATCAAAAGCTTGCGGTTATTTAATTTTCAGAGTACTCAACCAGCTAAGGATTCGATCTTGCCACAGGATTGGGACAAAGATATTTTCTCGGGGCGGAGAAACGAAAAAGATGATTGATTTCTTCCATCATCTCACTTCTGTTTCAGTACGGGCTCGCTCGTCTTTGTTCAGTCAGTTTCCATAGTCCAGACCACGTAATCTCACTATCCCGTCTTATAAATTCACTGTGTTATCTAATTTTAAACGCAAAATAAAAACATAATAAGCGCTAATATTACAAACAGTAGATTGCTGGCGCAATTAATTACAGGAAAAATTTTCAGATGATGACATTAATGCAAACATACAGAGAATGATTGCAGGGAGATAATATTAGATACGTGTAGCACTCGGTTGGTTGCGTATGCTTCCTTATCAGCCTTAAGTAGTCTTATATGCAGGTCTCGATTAGCTCGATAGATCTATATCTCAGATCACACTCATAGTGAATAATTTAGATGAGGATTTTAAAAGGTGGTATAAAGTATCAAAGAAGAAACCTTGTATTCTCCAGCAAATATAAAGTTCATGTGAAATTCAGCAACTTGTATATAAACAATTTGACCTAGATTATAACTTGTTTATTTTTCTCTTGATCTTTACCATCTTTAAATCGAACCGCAATATAATTCTAATAGAACAGTTCTCATGTGTTGTCACTTTAAGAAAGCAATTTTTAATTTTTGAAGCACATCTTAATTTCAGTCTAATTGCACTATGAACTATCTATGAGAAGTCTTATGGCTATGATAAAGGAGATATTTAACTCTTCCTAATTTTTATGATAAGATTTAAATTTCTATTTTCTTCTCATTTAATAGACATAAATTAAACATACTAGACTTCCTAGAAGATGTACTAATACCTCTATTTATAATTTACCTATCGTAAGACTTACTGCCCACTGAGGTTTTCGACTGCACCAGTTGCGGCTGTAGCCGGACGAGTAATGGTGCGGAAACCCCCCAATACTTTAGTAGCGCCGTTCTTAGGATTGGGGAGGTCGGTCGGTAGTGATGGGGTGCCAGGAACAAGTCGGACCTTGTTATCCTTAGAACCAGGAACTTTTGGCACTGTAGGGACCGAGGGAATTGAGGGAATTGAAGGAATATTGAGCCGATGAATGCGAGGTTCCTGAGAATCGGGAACTCTACGTTTGGAAATAGCGTGGATAACGTTCTCTGGAATATCTTTGCTTTCAATATTGCTATCCGCCTGGACCTTGTTATCTATGCCAGTCTTCTCATGCTTAACAATGTTTGAATGTTGGTTTGAAGTAGTTGGCTGGTCTTCAACGTTAACATGAGAAGATCCATGAACAGCATCTGATTTTTCCGAGCTATGAGGATTGTTGTCTCCTACATTTGCTACCTGATACTTGGGATCATAGTACGGAGCTTTTGGTGCATAGTAGGGAGCCTTTGGTTGATAGTGAGGAATTTTTGGTGCATAGTATGGAGCCTTTGGTTGATAGTGAGGAATTTTTGGTGCATAGTATGGAGCCTTTGGTTGATAGTGAGGAATTTTTGGTGCGTAGTATGGAGCCTTTGGTTGATAGTGAGGAATTTTTGGTGCATAGTATGGAGCCTTTGGTTCATAGTGAGGAGGTTTTGGTGCATAGTAGGGTGCCTTTGGTTCATAGTATGGAGCCTTCGGAGGGGGAGCATAATGCTCAGGAGCTTTGTACACCGGAGCTTTTGGCGCAGTGTATACAGGGGCTTTGTACACTGGAGCTTTTGGTGCGGTGTATGCTGGAGCTTTGTATTCTGGGGCTTTTGGTGCAGTATATACTGGAGCTTTGTATTCTGGGGCTTTTGGTGCAGTGTATTCTGGAGCTTTATACACTGGAGCCTTTGGTGTAGAGGTATAGGCAGGAGCACTGTAATATACAGGAGATGAAGTTGTCGGCTGATAAACGTAGGAGCTAGTTGGAACGTATTGAGTTGGAGCAGGATTATGGTATACATCTGAGTGAGTGACCGTGGTTGTTACATAAACAGTCGAGACTGGGCACACTGGAGCGGGTGAGTCATAAGGGTAACCCTGGCCAACAGGAGTTGAATATGTTGCAGCTGGAGGGGCATAACCATATTCAGGTGTCGATGCTGATGGCGAGTATGATGGACCATGACAATTATCCGCAGTAAGTGTGATGCTAACACATTTGGCTTGTCCAGGAACAGGGGTTGTATATACGTTCCAGTCCGTATCAGATGATGGACAGGCATAAAACTCGGGGTTCTGGTTATGGTATAAAACACCATTGTCTGCAATTGTAAATCCGCGTTCCGGGCCAACACCCATGTCACACTGGAACTGTTGAACTTGAGCTAGTCGATTTATGAGCTGATATAAAAATGGAAGAATCAAAGATTATTACTCACGAGTAAGGATGCAGCCATTACTAGATGAATCAACAATACCTCCATCACTAATCTTGTAGGTAGATGGTGGATAACCTCCCCCAATTCTATTCTGCCCATCAGGCAATTGTCCAAGATGTCCGGATACACCACCAGACGCGGTTAGACCAAAAGAGCAAGTCTCGAAGGCACTGGCAATAGTAGCCATGATAGATAAATTTAAGAACTTAGAATGCATTTTGAACATGTTCTGAGATCTGAGGAAAGATGAAGAGAATAGGATGAACCTGAGAGTGATGTCTGTTGGAGTCGACAAGAGTCGTATTTTATAAGACTAAAGAGTGGAGGGTATCATACTACTTTGAGGTCATATGACTCAATATAGTCCCCAATATATTGATAGTCAATCTAGATGAGTCCATCTTACACCAAGTTTAAATGAAATACTTGTGATTTTTTCTAGGACGCCACAGTAATATCCTAACAGGAGCTAGTTCGGGGGCAAAAGCGAGCATGGTCCGCGTAAAGAACGGTTCTATCCACATTGTGGATCTGAGCTGTAAGAGTAGCAAGTTTCGCTGGCTCAACTTGCACTTGATTTGATGGAAAGAGGTCCGAATGAATTATTGATTGGCTATGGTTGGAATCTCGAGACACGAAACTGAACTCCTGTAGGTGATCGCTGGGTAAGGGTCATCTATAAACTATCAGAGAAATCTACCAATCCCTATTTGTCGAATCTTCGTCTTATTTTTTTAAGAAATAACGGGGCCTTTTGATCAATCGGTTGTTACAATCAAGCCGATTGGGGTATCGAGTCCCAACCGCCGTTTAGTTTTATCGTGTGCTTTACCGCAATTAATTTTTCAAAGGGCTCAAGCACCTGGCGCTTGCTAGTATCTCAAAAAAGATAGAATTGACTATTACATGGCGTAAAAAGCTTGCCTTCATGTGCGAGGAACGCATATTAGTAAATACTATTTTTTCGCCCTATCTTGTATGAAGCCATTTTCTTCTGGCCGATTGATCATTATTTTTATCGATTGTGAGAGAAGCAAACTGAATATAGATGAATAGTACTCCTGCTTAGAAATATCCATAATGTTTATTTTTATTCTCTTTTGACTTGCTTTCTTGGGCGTCATCAATGCTCACACTGGTTGACGGATAATTTGAGTTCGAGAACATAATTTTCATTCATGTGATTGATTTTTTTCATCTAATCACTCAGCCCTGTTTTACTTGATATTTGCCACCTCTAATCCTGAGCTAATTGATAGACAGTGTGGGGACAATTAGAAGGTGAAAATGCAGAGAACTATATTTTTGTAGATGACATAGCATGGATCCGAGAATAAACTTCCCACATCCTTATCCAGCCCTCTGAATAAGCTATGCCATCATCAAGCTCGGACAAGGGGTGAAATACTGTCACTGAACGCGCTGTTTACGTTGCTCGGTAGAAACACAAAGGGTGGCAGCCACGTGACTTTCGAAATATCCGACGAAAGATTTTCAGAACAGGGTTTGAATTCAACTACCATGACAGGATGTTTCCCAACACTGTTTGCCGGAAGCTTTTCATAAGGCTACTAGTTTAGCTTTATATTACGTAGGTTATATAGACCAAATTTTACAGTCTTCGTTTTGATAACCCATAGTCTATTATCCTTGGATTTTTAGAGACGAAAAGACCGAATAAGTTAGTTACTAGCTCTGTAGCCGTTTTGCACCAAGCGTGTTAAGGAGACGCTTCCTGGGTGAGCTAGCTTGATTCTGGACACAAGTAGTTTGAGATAAAAGCTCTAGAATCCTAGCAATTTCTTTCGAGACCTAAGGGGGGCGGACGGACGCCACCGAGCCTATGACGGGATACATTACTGTCGAAATAGTCCTTGAATATTTTTCGGGAATAAATGATCTAGTGGGGTTGTCCGTCATGAGATTGAGGGTCCTGGCTTTACCTGCATTAGTACTGATCGTTAAGCTTGATCTTGTATGCACAAAGCGTTAAAAAATTCCGACTTAGAGACCCAATGGCAGGATGGATTAGACAATTACGGGATTCCAGCGGCAATCTTCGATAATCCGTGTGTTAGCTTAAGTCTAATTTCTTGAATAATGTGAAATGGCTCACGAAAGGTACCATGGGGAGAGCTAACTGTCTCCATTCTACAAGTGTCGAATGTTGGCGCGCGTGGCATGACAAGTGAACTTTACTGGCGCTCGGGCCAATCTCCGTAGTAGATTTTGGGTAGCATAATCATCTCCGGTATTTTAGGCTGGAAATCACTGGCTTCGTTCCGCGCTCTTCTTTGGTGGAAGTAGATGGTTTAGGCAAGGTTCCATGAGCCAAATATTTGCGAGCTTTCCCAAGGTGGGTCCACGGTGTAGGGAGCATTACTGGTAATGGTTAGTCGCTGCATAAAGCTACCGTTAAGGTCTGAATCATCCTTGGTATCAAACGGTGGGGTTTAGCCTTCATTCGTGTGACGCCTAGCCGGATCCCGGGAGCACTATCGAATGCGGCATAGTAGAAATGAATATAACTCCAACTATTCTTCGCTTGTGCCACTAAGTCCCTATCCCTTAGCCCGTTCTCACAGCTGCTACGGGTAAGATGATGCTTTCTCGACGTGTGAAAAATTTTATGTCACTAACTCAACCTCACCTGTCGATCTCTCCATTCACTAAAGGGATAGTGCTAAGGCTAAACCATTATATTCGGAACAAATACAAGTCTTGGGTAGATCACGCTTTCTCGCCGGTTCACGGTCAAGTTTATTGTAGATCAAATCAATTTTTTGGTGAGATCTTATTCACATAGACTAAACTCTCTCAGCAAATTATAACTCTAGGCTATTTTTGATACGGACCCAGCTAGCCCAACAGTAGTGCAAATCCTGGTGGAGAGCCGTCAAGTCCAACCTCAGCACTACAGGCCGGCTTGAACTAAGATAGACTAGCAAAGCGATGTTTTCGAGCTGTGCCACTTGGTGGACACTTCGTTTCAACGGTTCCGCACTGACACTATGCGAGCTAACACCATCTAGTGCAGAAAAAGCTGAATGAATTTGCTCATTGATCTATATTGTTACCCCCGCCTGACCTTCAAGATTCCACTATAACTGTAAGCCTTTCGTATCTCTCATTCAACCGACTGGGTACTTCGTTGAGAGACTGCTTATTTGATTGCAACTCAAAGCGCAAGGCCATTGCCACACTCCGCACTCATTGGTAGCTCAAAACGAATAAGATCGGGTAAGATTAAGTTGACTACCATTTACAGTACCACAAGTCTCGAGCCATCTTGGAAAAATAAAACGTTTTCGATTACAATTATGGGTTTGACTATGCCATCCCACTTAAGGTGCGGCGAAAGTCAAAATCTTTTCCGGCATCTGCCACCTTAGACTGAAAGCATTGAAAATTTTCTGTTCATCTGCTTTTTTCTGAGCATTTCATTCCCACAACTGTTATTATTATCCTCGTGGGACGTCCTCACTCAGTTGCCCCTTTGAAGTCTCCACCTTGTCTCATGTTCACTCTTCTCACATCCACGAATTTCCCCTACTTCGACCTGTAATTATTATCCAAATAACCAACATACCGTGAATGCTCCGAATTTCTTTTATTTGGAATGGATTCATCTCTAGAAGCCGCAGCTAACGTCCGACTAAATATTTATGCGGTCCTTGGATAAGCTCTTGAGAATGGCCAATCCTTTGATCCAGATAAAGTCGAGGTGGTTAAATTTATTAGTTCAAGAGCCAGATGATGCGAGCTATCAACAATTAGGGTTGGCGCTCAGAAAGTCTAGAATCGAAAAAAAAAATAGATGATTAAGAGTTTACTCGGATTCAGGTCTGGCTGTTGAAGGCCAGGTCTCTTGACAAGCTATCAAAGGAACGCGTTTTTGGTAACCCTTTTGTAGACGAAGTGTATCAATGGTTCAAGGCCGGCCTTTCATACAACCATCATCCGGAAGATTGACCCCTCGCGTACAATTAATCTGAGGTCTATTGGTCAGTACATGCCAGAGAAAAGTATAGAATTGTCGCCTGAATCCTTTGGAGGTAGGTGTAGAGCCATCGATCAAGCAAGCATATCTGAAATCTATGCTGCCTTGCTGACTTGGTGCACCACGCCAACCTAAGCTCTAAAGATAGAAACTAGCACACATTCTATTGGAGGAGCGTATGTTTGAAACTGCTGCCAAAATACTCGGACCAAATTGCATCTTTTAGCTACGACTCTGGGCTAGAAGAGAGCTGATAGCGCTCGCCACTGCTACGGGCTACGAATATACAATAGAAGCAGGCTTGACATGGACCGAACCCTCGACTCCATGGCATAAAGTGTCTTAAATAAGAAAGTATCATGACTGAATTACAATAAGCTGTTCACATTGGAATATTGTGCACAAGCATCATAGGATATGATTGACCCATATCATCATTCGTTGGTGTGTTTAAATTTTTATTTCTAGATTTCAAGAGATATTTGTCGGCTCTAGGATCTCCGATATTCTCTCTTTCCCGGTTAGACTAGGAAGAAGAATGGAAGGACTACTAGTGAGAGGAATACTCCTTATTTATGTGCATAGAGGAACTTACTGCTACGTACATAATACTGTTGAAAATCTAGGTTCAATATGTATCAAGGTTTAGATTTCTGGTTATGATCATCAAGATCAATTGTACCAATTAGATTGCCAATAAGTTAGCTTGGCTAGGCGATAATCAACTTCAGTGGTATTCGGAATACACTGGCTGGGATATTGTCGGTAAAGGGATTATATTTGAATAGTAAGAATTGTTCTATGTAATTGCGGTATTCAGGTTCTCGTTAGGACACTGACAGGAATCTGACTTCGCTCATCAGCTAGGCGCTTGGAGTAGAGGAAGAAAGGGGAGAGGGAGAAAAGAGAGACAACGTTTTATTTATTTCGAGATATCAGTTAATCGATTTTATTCACCGACTACGTGACGACACCCAATTTGTATTACTTCGTGTTTTACCAACACTGCCCTTCGAAGATGCTCCCGCTTTTTTATTTATTTAATGTGTATTCAGCTATAGATCCATGACACATGACCGGTACTATGTATACGTGTAGGATAACTCTTTTGACGTTAGAGACACTTATACTCTGGATTTCATTTGCAAATACCACTATGAGGTATGCTTGCTTACACAAACAGTCGACCTTCCTCCATAAGTACCCACCAAAGGGACGTTTCATAA